ATAGTCCACCACGCCACCCCACTGTGGATTGGCGGACTTCACATATGTTGCAAAAATATACTTTTTGTTATTATTTCGACAATCTTTTCTTTCTCTCGATCTTTTCCTTTACTGCTGGTGTATCACGTGTAAGTCAGCGCTTAATATTTATAATTTTATTGGGCCGGCACCGAAATTTGAACTCGGGTCGCTCGAGTTTATAGAATTAAAATCGAAGGCCAGACTCTTCGGATGATCCCGATAATATGTAACAAAAAACTATTTTGACAATTTTTTTAAAGGATATTAATTTGTACAGTGTTCTCTTCGCTTAAGATTTAGATTTAAGATTTTAAGAAACTTAAAAATTTGTAGAAAAATGGAGGAAAATGTTCGCCGCTGCGAAGGTCTGAACTTGCGTCGTCCGTGATACGCGCCCGACGCTGAAGCCACTGAGTTAAACGGCTTATCTTCACACCGACGAAAACCTCAACATATTGTTTTACCTTTTTTTATTGCATTTTTATGGACCTCTTTTTACAGACTTACTTTTCAGTGTTGTTTACTATTGGCTGGGCGATTGTTTTACAGAATATATAATCTCGTTTATTGTTTACATATAATTTTCACGAGACCGTCAACGCTGTAAATTATTCGCAACATCGCCAATTTAATTTTTTCGCCAAGCAATTTAAACCGTACAAATTATTCAATCAATGGCTGCTCTGTTTTACATGTAGTCTGAACGGATTTCACCTTAAACATCACGAAGTTTCGACCAAAACGTGATATATCATACGAGATATGATATCTCGTACCTTGATATGATTAACTATTCACAAGGACGTCATTTCAATGATTCAGAGCGTCAACTAAATGTATTATTGGCGCAGTAGGTATGGGCAATTTGCAATTCGCTACAACGGCCGGCTTTAACATAGCACGGATGAGGATTAGTCTCGCAATTGTTTCTTTTCGAAGCGTAAAGCGCTTAACACCGATTAACGGCTTTAAATTAGCTCCGCTGGATTGGATCGATTGAAATGTTAGCCTACAAATGTCAGGCGTACCCGTTTTTTTTTATTGTGACAGGGCCATGCAGCAGTTTTCGCTGTTGCACGATTGAGCATGTCCTTCCGGGGAAGTACCACGACCGCACATGAGACCGGCGTGAAGTGGAAGTGTTACACTTCTGCGTTTCGTCTGGTGAGCGATATAACTATAGCCCACTTTATTAAAACGTGGCAACGCATCTGCAACCCTACGGGTGTTGCAAAAGTCCATGGGCGGCGGATCACTCAAAATCACGTGAACTGCCACCTCGGTTACTACCTTCTTACATAATAAAAAAAAAAAATAAAAACAATATAAAATAAAAACATCTATATTGAATCTGCCTTAGGATCGGAGGATATTTATTCATAACGTATACGCATGAGGAACTTGGAAGACGATGAAGAATGAACTGAGCTGCTACACATCTTATAGTATAAAACTTATACATACATAAGGGTAAAACTATTCAAATTAGCAGATATAAAGTTATAATCTATACAGGTTAAGTTTTTGATAATTATTTACATATGATCTTTTCGTGGTGAAATCATAAAACAAATAGAAGCTTCAGATCATGTACAGAAATTCTATTATTATTTATTTCAGACTATCTTAAAATATTACTTCAAGGAATTATTCGGAAAAAATGTTACCGCACAATAAGAAACTACTTCTGAGTCAAATAATCAAGTCACAATTCAATAACAGTAATGTCGCAAATGATTTTTCAAGCTCTTCATACATAGTGCCTTCAAATTTTTCGCATTTTCAGATTGCGAATGGTATAAGGCGAAATATATAGAAAACTTACTTAAGCCTAAGTTAAATTGGGCTCAATATAAGGGTAATCTCAAACCGAACACTGTCATACACTTTTAATGAAAATTGTTTTAGAAAACGAAATATGTTTTTATATAATAATATATTTTATATAATAATAATAACTTTGGTGAAACGCGATAACGGCAACTCGGTCTTCTTAGTCCACTCAATATTTAAAAATAATTGGAATTCGAAATAGTGCACATTTTTATATCCATATCACACTCGAAATTCGAATTCATGAAATATTTTTGTGGCCAGTATTCAAAATTCTAAAGTTTTCATCATTTGACAGAAATAATGGTCTAGGTATATAGGCAGAATTTCACTTGGTATTCGAAAATTTCTTACCTTAATTAAAAAATAACTTGCCTATAGAGCCCGAATTTATAAGTGCCAGTAATTTTCGTGTCAGCAATGTTTTGTTCAAAGCCTTTGACCCAACTTAGAAGTTTGTTACTTACAACGTTTGCAGTCAAGAACCCACTGACCTACATTTTGCGACCGCATCGAAAGTTTTCGGTCGCGAGTTATTACAAAACACCAAAAGAATTTGCGTTGTATTTAGAAATAGCAATTTTCTATACAACAGAAGGTGGCAAGCGAGCTGGCGGTTCACCTGATGTTAAGTGAAAACCGCCACACATGGATATTTGCAACTCACGTTGGTTTGCAGATGCGTTGACGACCTTTTGGAAATTGGGCTCCGGCTACCTCACTCACCAGACTTACTAAATACTTTTAATAAAGTGAGCTCCGGTTACCCTACATACCATTTTCATTAACGGTGGTAGGGCCACGCAGCAGCATCTTCTGTTGCACGAATGGGCAGGCCCATCCGGGTAAGCACCACGACCTCACAGAAGACCGGCGTAGAGTGGAAGTATAGTACTTTCGCGTTTCGTCTGTTGAGTGAGGTGGCCGGAGCCCAATTTTCAAAAGGTTGTCAACGCATGTGCAACCCTCGGGTGTAGCAGATGTCCATGGGCGGCGGTATTCACTTACCATCAGGTGAACCGTCTGCTCGCTTGGCAAATTTTCACATAATAAAATACGCGTTGTAAGGACGTTTTTACAAACATAAATTTCACGCGGATAAACAAACACCCAGATGCGAGACAACTATCTGTGGGTCACACAAATAGTTGTCCCGTGTGGGAATTGAACCCACGACCCTCGACGCCGAAGCCAATACCTTGTCAACTGCGTCACGGAATAATCGTGCTTTAAATTTTGACAAGAACTTTATTCACGTTTTGTTGATAAAACTCAAATGTTTATAATTTTGAAGACATTCTCAATAATAAATAAGACATTTCAATTATTTCCATTTGCATGTGCAACATTATTAAATTTTTAAAATACGTTCGAAAAAATAAAAAAGTCTATTTTCCCTGCCCTCTGAATATGTCATAAAAATTTGCCCATAAGTCCCCAGTGAGCCTAGTGTAAACCAGCGATATAATGACCCAGTAAATAATAAATGAGTATGTAAAATTGTATGTTTACCAACTAGAAATAACAGCGTACAAAACAGCTCCTGAACGAATACCATACAAAACTCGGCTGCAGAAGTAATACGGCCACGTGGAAGCCCGTTATAAAATTAATTATTTAATATTATAAGTGTTTTATCTAGAAATTTTAATATACTAATGTGTTTAGTTCGATAAGTGTGGTTGTTCCACTGTCACGACGATTGACGATACTAGTGTTGTGTCCTCACTAAACATCGTTATCCGCTTCCTGTTCTCGCAAAAAAATTTTAAAATCGCTTTAAAATAAAAACATTTTAAGTCGATGCGGCTCACTGTTATACGCGTTTCACTAAATAAGGACTGCATAAAGCCGTTAATATTATGTATCTGTCTCTACCACATTGGGATCAAAAGATTTAAAAAAAAACGGTTCGTCTTTTACCAACCTAAACTTCCGCCATTGTTGTGATAAGTGAAATTCAATATTGATATATTCTTTCTATGGACGAATTTTTCGCTTTTAATCTCTAGCCTATATCAACAAACGCAAAGGTCGTGAAAAGTTTTCACGAGCTCTAACACTCGAATCTAAAAATAATTTTATATAGATATTGGATTTACAAAGAGACAGCAGAATTGCAATGCCTTATAATCGCTTCAGTATACGGTAATGTGGATCTAATAGCATAATTATCGTGAGTAAAGTAGAGTAAAGCAACTGCCTAAATAGGTCCCACTGCTGGGCATAGGCCCCCTCGTGTCAGAGTCTATTAGTGCATAGTCCACCACGGGCGCGACCACACTGCGGATTGACGAAAATATCTTCGAAGTATTTATTTATTATTTCGAAAACATGCAGGTTTCCTTACGATTTCTTTCACCGCTGAACAGGTGATAAGTCAGCACTTAAAATTAAGAACTTCATTGTGGCTGTGATAGGGGATCGAACTCGAGTATATCGAATTAAAGGCGAGCGCCCGGCAAATGAGCTAACACGGCTATAATCACATATAATCGGAAAATACACGTGGTTTCAAAACAAAACCTGATGTAGGATGAAATTTAACGCATTGTGAATAAATGAAGCTTGGAGAAATGATATTTTTGCGTCTTTCACAAAAAACATTTATGAACAAATGCCCCGGTGGTTTTACCTAATATATAACTATGGGTTAAAGAACTATGTTCTTGAAGAATAGTAACGTTGTTAAAGCTTTTAAAAATAAATATCACTACTTGAGCCTAATGGCTCAGCTCATGTTTTTCACACAATATAGTTATCGGTTACCGAATGTAAAAATTAAAAATGTAATACATCCAATGTACCTTTAATAATATTCGAATATGGATTGCTTATCAATGAAAAGTATATTATTTTGTTGAATAATAGTGGAAAATATCAGTAAGCCTCCATCAACATGGAAAATTATTTTGCATCAAAAGAAATTGTCGATAGATGGCATTGTCGTACATTATACAATATAAGTTTTTAAACGTGTAAAACATTCCATATTTGACTATTTTTGGACAGCTTTAAAATGAAGTTTACGTCATTAGTTTAAAAAAAAATCAGGTCAATTTTGATAAAAAAAACAGTTACGGTACAGCCTTTGAGAATTGTTATGCTTAGCCCCGTTATCATTTTGAATACAGCGCCATCTTTTATTGTACGCTGGAAACGGCGGCGCACTGCACACGTAAATTTCTGAATTTTAATACAAATATGCAATATGTTTGTGCAATTGTTCTTCAGAACACCGCTGTAATATGGCCTAACTGTCGTAGGGCTACAGAGCAGTTTCTACTATTATAGAAGACCAGCGAACTCCCACATCACAACGTACTATCGTGATTCGTTCGAAGTGAGGTCACAGATAACTATTTTTTAAAGATTAGCAACGCATTTGCAATGCCGCAGGTGTTGTAGATTTCCATCGACGGTGGAAATTACATCACATGAACCACTCGCTCGCAAACTTGTCTCATTAAAAATTTGAATATTGAATGATTACCGCCGTCTATTAACCAATACATTTTGAGCCCCGCTAGGGGGTAGGTATATATATGGCCAACCTACCTCCTACTACCTCCTCCAGGCGTCTTAAGAAATAACTGTTAATACTTCTACTCTATAACCGTTTTTTTATGTGAGCCTTGCGCCACTTCGCTTGCCACCTCGGCAAGCGAAGTGGCGCTTCCCCTGATGTACATGCAACACCTGTAGGGTAACAGATGTGTTGCCACCTTTAAATAAAGTGGACTTCGGTTACCTCGCTCACCAGACGAAACGCAGAATTATAACGCCACTTCACGCCGGTCTTCTGTGAAGTCGTGGTACTTCCCCGGACGGACCTGCCCATTCGTGCAACAGCGCAGACTGTCGCGTGGGCCTACCGCAGTTGTCCCAACAGCAGAAGCCGCCGACACATGAAATACACACAAGAAGTGAAGTAGTAACAGCCTATACATGTCCACTGCTGAAATACACACAAGACCCAACAAACATACGCTCGCATTGCAAATCGTTAAATTAAAAACGCCTTACCTTGAGCATGGTGAGAATTTTCTGCGACAGTTCGTAGTCAAAGTTGGTGTACTTGGAGTCGGTCATGTCGTATATGAACACGAGACCGGCGCGTTGCGTCTCGAGCGACTGCAGCGCCACGTCCAACTGGTACACCACGCCCTGTCCACGCAAAGAATGACGTCATCGTTGTACCGGTCAATTTGGTGTCGAGCGAAGCGAATCTGAATATCAATTATTATCGACCGCCAACCAAAAGCCATGTCAGTCAAAAATATCAGGGTACAGTCTGTCTAAATAATTTATTTAAACAATTCATAATAAATTGATTATAGGCCCAAATACACGTCCCACAGTTGAGCAAACACCTCTATATATAGGGATTCTAATATGTAAGTGTTGACCATTACGCGGGCCTAATATAAGAAGATATTTTTATATTATATTGCTAGACATGCAGAATTCTCTTGTACGGATGCGGATGTCTAGTGCGTTTGGATGCAACACAATAAAACCCTCTCAAGTACTCCAACAAAGAATAAAGTAACCCTACAGGAAAGAATGTTTGAAAAGAAGCGAAGAAATTTGAGCAAGCATTGACATTATATCAATATTGTACAAGAGATAAATTATCTAGTCACGAGATAAATTATCTTTATTGCTCTGTAAAATATGATTTTTTTATTATCTCTGCCTATAACTCAAGCGTTAAGACACACTTGTTGCGTATATATTTATTTTTAAATAAAAGGTCGCGTAAAGCAGGTCCATTAATTACGCCGCGACGTAGGTTAATTCTCCATTAGCGAGAAGCGGGAACAATTTAATTGGATTTTCGTTAATTTAGTTAGCTCACTCACGTTTACTTAGAAACACTGGTGACGTTAAATCCGTTAACAGCATTAAATCTCGATAAAGTATATCGAGATAGCGATAAGTTTTTTTTTATTCGGGTTGGTTTTAGCGATTTGATGATTAGTCATTACCGCCGCCCACGCACATCTGTTTAACAGTGTGCCGAAGGATTGAACAAAACGAAATGCTTCATTGTCGCTTGATAATGAAGGATTTCGTCGCCAACATCTAATTGTATATCGAAGTAAGAAAACCCAATTTCTGTAACCCACAGAAAAGGTAGAAATAATTAAATAATGTATAAACTCACTAAGTAAAGAAAAAAAAACGTTTCTAGTCATTAATAAATTTTTGGTCTTCAAAGTCCCGTTTGTGCATTATAGGAGGTGAGTTTTTTGTCGATATGCGGCATGCTGCTATAATTGCGGCATGCTGGGTGCGCACCTGCAACGTCGTCTGATGCGTGGTCTGCGTTGGAAAGTGTTTGTTGGCCGTGAATACTGCGATCGCGGCCCCAGTCGCGTCCCGAGTAGGCTGCGAACAAAACAAGAGGAGCTTCAACGTTTATTTAAGGTATACTTCTTTGCGACCGGTTTTCAATATATCTACAGATACGATTTTGTAACTAGCGAGAGGTATTTATACATTAACTCCGTAATAATTACGTCAAAATTCTATCTCCAGTACCCAAATCTATCTTAGATCAAATATTGAAACCGGCCGTTAGGCGGGTTTGAAAAAACAGATCAGATTGGATTAGTGTTGTGTGTTGACGTGCGAAATTGCGTGCACAAATATAACACATAATTTAATTTGTATTAAGCGCCATCTATTGGCAACTGTTTGTACTTCTTGATTCTGAGAAATTTCTTTTACGGATAGAACGTTAAGTTTCCAAGAGATGGCGTCACTATAAAACTTATGGTAACCGTTTAATTTCAATAAAGTAACAACGCAATAACGCCAAAGAAAGAAGTATAACTTCTTAGGTGCGTACATGTGCGTCCAGTCATCTCAACCTGTAGTTACCAAGGTTTTACAACTGTTTTAAAAGCACAGAAGATAGAAGTCAACTAATGTCACGCGATTACCAGCAAAAATAATCGTGCTTCTCAGAGAAATTAGGATCGAATTGATAACATTCCCATATTGTAATGGGGACACGCAACAGCTTGTGCTGTTGCAAGAATAGGCAAGCGCATCCGGGAAACTACCACGGCCTTAGAAGACCGGCGTCAAGTGGAAGTATTAAACTTTCGCGTTTCGTCTGGTGAGCAAGATAACCGCGGTCCACTTTTTTAAATGTTTTCAATGCATCTGCAAGCACTTGGATGTTGTCAATGCATCTGCAAGCACGTGGTATTCACTTAACATCGGGTGTAACCACCGCTTCACAACTTCCACAAATAAAAAAAACTTGTTATTCACTATAACAGTGCTTTCACCTAATACGGCTTATCTTATACTTTCAATTGTTATTAATTAAATGTGTTATGTAATGCGCTGCTGGTGTAATGTTTAAATTAATAAATAGTTACGCTTACTCAGAATTGAAAATATGATGGAGACGGTACCGTAATTTCAAAGCGGTTTAATATAGCTATGAGATTTTTCGAACGTGGCAAACAGGCTGGCGGCTCTACTAGTCTCCAGTATTTAAGTGACTTAGGTTACACTAGTAGACTTAGGTCACTAACCAGACGAAAAGCATAATGTAAATATTTCTTTACGCGTTAGCGTTCTGTTAGGTGTCGATTGAGAACTCCACAGTAAAAATCCTGCCAAATGCAAGTCGGACACGAAGTCGTCGGAGTCGAAGGGTTGCGTACTGTTATCTATAAAAAAATATACAAAGTGACAGTCTGTATAATTATGTCCTACTGTTGGGCAAAGCCCTCCTTATAGGACATAATCCACCACGCAACCCATTGCGGATTGGTGGACTTCACATATCTTCGACATTTTATTACTTCGAAATTATGCAGGTTTCCGCACGATGTTTTCCTTTATCGCTGAACAGGTGAAAGTCAGCGCCTAATTAACAATTTCATTGGTGCCAGCACCGCGATATGAACTCAAGTTGCTCGGGTATATTGAATTAAAAGCGAGCGCCCGGAGACTGACCTATCCCAGTTCAAAAAAAAGACGATAAATTATTTCTAAATCGATAAATTGCGCGTCAGCCTAAAGAAAAGTCATTCGAAATTCAAATTTGTTTCGCGGGTACGCAGCTGTTCACGCCTTGTTATTGCGTGGCATTCTCGAAATTGTGGCGACGAAACGCAAAACTAATTAATTAAAAACTAACCGACCCGACAGCCTCACTCTGGCATAATTTTGTTACGCGACGGAATAAAAAAAAGTTGAAGTACTTCGACCTAAATACGATGCGATGATTCAATTTCCTGCAAAAATACTGCCGCTCTGTTCGACTTGCCTTTGTAAAACTAAACTGCGAGTGAACACCGTTCAAACAAACGTAATTGGACCTCTTTAACAAACGGCGGCTAGCTGATATTCATAAGTGCCTTACTATAATTTTTTTTTATTTAAGAAGGTGGAAAACGAGCTGGCAGTTAATATTAAGTGATAACACTAGCAGGATTTCAGATGCGTTGCCACCTTTTAATAAAGTGGGCACCGGCTACCTCACTCACCAGACGAAACACAGAAGTATAACACGTCCCTTTCACGCCGGTCTTCTGTGAGATTGTGGTACTTACAGAGACGGACCGGCCCGTTAATGCAACTGCGGAGACTGTTGCGTTGGCCTAGCTCATAAAAACTCTCTTAATTTTTTTTTTATGTGAAAAGTTGCCAAACGAGCAGACGGTTCACCTGACGTTAAGTGAATACCGCCGCCCATGGACATCTGCTACACCTACAGATGCGTTGACAACCTTTTGAAAATTGGGCTCCGGCTACCTCACTCACCAGACGAAACTTGAAAGTATTTGTCATACTTACGCTGGTCTTGAAATTGCTCCCGGAAATTGAGCCATCGCGGCAAACCATTAGAATATACTTTATTGTAAGTTATATGAGATAAAATAAATTCCCATAAACGACAACCGCCCATTTCTAGCCACACCACTTAAGTAACGAGCATAGCAGCAACTTTGGGGCTTTCGACAGATCTTTGCAATTCAAAAAGTAAAGTAAAGTAACAGCCTATACATGTCGCACTGCTGGGCAAAGGCCTCCTCTATACAGAAGGTATCAGGGCATAGTCCACCACGCGGCCCCACTGCGGACTTCAAATATCTTCGAAAACTACTTTTTTGTTATTATTTCGAAAACATGCAGGTTTTCTCACGATGTTTTCACGTCTACACCGAGGAGCACGTGATAAGTCAGCACTTAAAGTTACAAACTTCATTGGTGCCGGCACCGGGGATCGAACTCAGGTTGCTCGAGTATATTGAAGTAAAGGCGAGCGCCCGGACACTGAGCTATCACGGCTCAAAAAGTAAACAATAAAGGAATTTGCAATCTTCAAATACCTGAAAGTGCAATCAACCCTAATAAAGGGAAACCGCGAGTTACAGCATATCGAGTTCATTCCATGCGTTTCATCCATTCATGTTTTCGAGGGCCGTAGTATGCCTTTAATTCCCTTGCACTCATTGATTCCTTTCAGACTAGTGAATTGAACTTTGTGTTTTTTCGATGAAAACACGACGGGCTGATTTCTTTTTCATATCAGGCTTCAGTTATCCTTATCCGACTGCCGCTGGAAAGCTAACAATCTTAATACTTACTAGTATTATAAAGGCGAAAGTTTGTATGTATGGATGGATGTTTGTTACTCTTTCACGCAAATACAACTGATTTTAATAAAAAATTTCAATAATATAGCTTATATATATCAGAATAAGACATAGACTATAATTTATATACATTTTTATGTATATCTATCATTCTGTCTGAATGTTACACCTTCAGCCTATTCTATTCTACGCAGACGTAGTCGTTGGCAGCAGGTAATTATTAAATAATTAAAAAAAAATGTTTTACGTGTGAAGGTGACAAGTGAGCTGGCAATTCAATTTCAACTGATATTAAGTTATATCGGCCGCCACATAGCCGATTTGCAACACCCGTAAAGTTACAGATGCGTTGCCACCTTCTAATAAAGTGGTTCAAGCCGGTCTTCTGTGAGGTCGTGGTATTAACCTGGACGGACCTGCTCATTCTTCAAACAGCGAAGACCGTTGCATGGCCCTAGCACAGTAAACTCGCCTACGGTTTTTATTATCATTGGACTGTATGGACCGGTCCGTCTGGGGAATCGCGCTACAGCGTGGCCCTACCACAGTAGAATTAACTTATTACTTTTTCGAATCGCAACAATCTCAAGCTCAACCCACAAGTTTCAACGAGCAGGGGATATCTATAAAAAACCTCCGCGGCAAGCTACGTTCACCGTCGACTCACCAATATGGTGGGGTATCTATAAAAATCGCCGTGGCAAAGCTACGTGAACGTACTCACCAATATAGTGAACTTGCCGGTAGCGAGCTCCGTCTTCAGGGGGTCCTCGAAGGGCTCGAACTTGGTGAGCCCCTCGCGCCTCCGCGTCGCCTCGTGCTGCCGCCAGAGGGCGTGCGCGCGCGCCACGTCGAACTTTCGCGCCAACAGGAATTTAATGGCGGTTGCGCGCGAAACGCAACTGGCGCCCGCATCGCTCAACGCGTCCAGGAACGCCTTGGTCGCCTGGAACGGGTTAAATTGGACTCAAACAAGAGAGAAAAGTAAAGTAACAGCCTGTATACGTCCCAATTCTGGGCGAAGGCCTCTTCTGCTCAGAGGGAATGGGGGCATAGTCGGACTATACCCGTGGTGGACTATGATGATAGTCCACCACTAGGGATTGGTAAACTTCGCATATTTAACATTTTTTTTTGTTATTATTTCAAAAATAAGCAATTAAAATTGAAATTGACAATTAGATGCCGACAAGAGAATTGAACTCAGCTTGTTCGAGTATAATAAATTCTATTAAAGCTATCACGGATTTTTCTATAATAGATGTTTGCTGTGAAACAAGCTTTTTTACAAAGACGTTGCGTTTTCTGTGAACGCAACCGGTGGCGTCCTGCTTCCACTTTTATTACCCGCAGGCGGGAGTGTTTGACATTAGTATAGGCGATTGCATATTGTGTGTTTTTAAAGAGGGTAGTCGCCCTCTCTTTTTTATTTCTACCTTACCCTTATAGCCCTAGCGAATACACACATGAAATAGAATTCTTTGCGTGATAAATTCTTGTATTTACGCGAATACTCCACATGGCTAAAAAATTACAAAAAGTTCATTTTGTTTCGCCTTCACCGTGAACGCAATAAAATGTTAGAATGTTCATCTGCAGCGGGAAACCCTCTACATCTATTAGGCCCCCTTCTTGTTAACAATTTTCTCCCATAACAAGGCCCCCACAGCCATTATAATGCCTTGATATATCCAATCCACGGGAAATTTTTGATCAGTAGTCTATAGTACTGATCAAAATTTTTTTAACATTTTTTGTTACATTTCATAATTGGCTCTGCGTTGGAAACTGTTGTTTACATTTCAAAGTATAGAGCCCACCATACAGAAAAAATTAATCTGATTTTACTTGAAAGACATGGTTTGAGGTTTTGATTTTTACTCGCAATATTACTTTATATTCAAAGAACAATGTTCAAATATGGATGCAGTTAAATGTTACCTTCGCGAGTCGAAAACGGCTCCTTTAGAGAATAAATCAATATTAATTACGTTACATGCAAAAACTAGTATCAGTAAGCAGGTTAGCATAATTTATCCGATCGATAATAAAACGTTCCGATTATCTATTATTAATTTCACAAACGTTTTACTTCATATCGTAAAAAGAGCAATTCGTTTCGATTTTTGTACATTTCCGTCCGATATCATTCGTAAATATATAAAAAGAATGTGTGTACTTATGTATGTACGTAAGAAGTTATAGATTATTTGTAACAAACGAAAAATAACGAAAAAAATGTATCCCACGTCAGTACACATTATTTGTGAAAAAGACATTAAATGCAATTAATAACGGTTGAATTAAATAACTGGAAATTATAGGTAAATGTCAGAAATTTGTTATTGGTTGCCATTGTAATGCCGTGAAGTTAGTATGCAACCAACTCCATATTTGTCTGTCCATTATGTCACTTTTGGGCTGTAGGTGTGCGCGCACATTGTAATTATTATTGTATATATTTATAATAAATATTGTGTGAATATTTAATTTTTCCAAACTCGCCAAAAGAAATGTCATCATCATCAACCGCAAGACGTCCACTGTTGTAGGCCTCAAACTTCAAAAATATATTGTTTTTTATAAAAATATTTAACCGGTTTACATAATTCAGAAATCATTATGTTGCCTCGGCTCAGGCTATGGCGCAGGACTTCTTCCACTTGAATTTATGAAACAATCATCGCCGAATTTATATCGTAAGCAGAGAAGTTTTCTGAGTGCATACAAGTATTTCTTAAGGCGTTAGGCAAAAAGCAAAACATTTTTCAAATAATTATCAGGTCTTCCTAATGGTCTAATAAAAATTATTCATAAACTTCCCCATATGAAGGGATAGAGGTGGAAATATTAAAAAAAAAAACTTGTCGTGGATAGTGCCTTTTATTTCAAACATAATGACTAACCACAGCGTTTTTAAGTTTAAATTAAAATTAAAAACAAGTTATATCTATATAAATTACTTTATCAATGTGATTTGTATTTACGGCTAGGGTCGATCATAATATATTTAAATCCAAAGTTAAAGAAAAAATTATCAATAACTTGGAGTTACAATAACGTTCCATTCTATAGCCGGCGAACCCCAATGTTCTAAATGACCATAATTTTGCGTTTAATAACAATATGATAATATATCATCAGTTACCACTTGCACTATTAAGGTATTATTTTCAAAGATATAGAGGAGGAAATTGATTCAAAACAATGTTAACATAGATGAAAATAAGATAATAAATAATGCTTTTATCGAACGATGCCAAAGCAAAAATTCAGTTGCTAAAAAAAATTATATTTCTTAACCAACATGTAATGCTTCCTCGAATAGTAAAATACAAATATGTAGCATAATGAAATAAAACTATTTTACGGATTGTATCGCGATTTGACTTTTATCTCGATTTTACTTTGACTTTGAAAAACTGTTTTTAATCTGTCGCGTCGACCATAGACGCTTTGAAGTGTTCAAAAAGGGGGTCTAAAAGCAAACGGTCTAAAATCCGTCAAATACTGTTATATCACAAAATAATATATCTAACGCATAACCGTCGACTTACGTATTTACAAAAAAAATATGTACCCGTAAAATCATCAGAAGTTTCCGGACGAGAGCATTCTCCATCTTCTAGATTATTACGCGACCATAGACACGTAATATCGGAGTGTCGTTCGCGGCCGGTGCTAACATAAATAGTCACAGATTTCACTACTCCGTCACACTTTCCTCATCACTGCGTCGCTCCGATGTAGTGCCTAAGCGAATCTGAATCGATAATTAATTACAAACTGGTCACTTGAACGGTAATTTAAAAAAACTGCAAATGGCGGCGTCTAGAAATTACGTATTCATTTTACCTCGCTGTCTGTCTACTTGTCTGTGTCGAGTCTCGTTTTCTCTTCGGTCATAACGACTTTGTAAAGTTCCATAGAGCCCGTAGAAAGGTTGCAGTTTCTAAGGACTAGTGAAGAGTACGAGTAGTCACTCATATACACTATCGACCAATATTAGAAAGTCTAGGTCCTGTAATTACATTGAAGGCGTAAATAATAAAAATCAATTATGCACATCTCAGCTTCTATTATTTACAAGGCTTATCCAAAAAGCTTTTCTTTTCTCCGTTTCTAAGAAGATATTAGCATATTATTATAAAATCTCAATGAAAGCTAAATTAGATCCATGTTCTAGACACTAGTGTCATTGCTAGATTATTCTCCACTGCTTGTTACTGTTGTTTCTAATTAATAATAATTAAATTTTGTATTAGGTTCCGAAAACATATTATTATTATTTTTTTATAACGTTATTCATTGAACAGCGCGAAGTTGGCAACGCATTGTAGTTTTGCTCCGGGATAACAGATCCAAAATTATGTAATGTATTGTTGGGCAAACTTTGTGTTCTTAGCACAATTATTCGATACAAGTATACTGGCTGATTAAAGCAAGATCGTCTGCGCTCAGTTAAACCGGGAGCGACCACTATAATTAAAGACAATACTATCGTTGCTACCAGCAAGCGGAATAGACATTGACAATAAGTGCTGACATTGTATTGAGATGCCAAATGTATCAGTCCGATCCATGACGATACTATAATTTGAAACATGAGGTATTCACCATAAAATTAGAGGTAGTTAACAATGTCTCATCACTGTGATTTTGAATAAAGAATTGAATGTAATGAAACAATTATAATCTTATAATGATGTGTAATAAATAATGTAAAAAGTAAGAAAACCGTGTTAAATTCTTAAAAAGGCACGACTGATCTGAGGAAATGTTTATACCAGGTAGGACTACATCACTTCCACAGGTGGGATGATAATCAAGCAGAGCTAAACTAACTAGCCAACTGTAAAAAAATCAAACGGGCGTTCGCTCACGAATCGAAAACCACGCGTAAAAGCGATGCTTCTAAAATATCCTTTGTACCTACCGCTCGGATGCTTCAATTGCGGTTCCATAAAGTGGAGAGCGAAGAACAAAAGACCGACGGAGTCGAGAGGAGGGGAGAAACCGAGGGTAGAATAATAAAACCCGCATACTGCAAAATGGAAAATACCCGAAACGTCAAATCCTACCTTACGTACAATTACATGTTGCATTACAATCTTTAAAGATGTCCGTAATTTAGATAAGATTTATAACGAGCTAATAATATCCAGTGTCCCTTATTTGTGCCGAAATAGCATCAAAACTCCTAAGTCAAAACGTGGTTAAAACATTGACGATGATTTTCAGAAACGTTGTCGGACTTTAGGTTTCGGGCTAAAGATTGTATTTATGAAACAAATCTGAAATCAAACAAATCGGAATCGAACCTAGGAATCCAACCTATCTCTTAATAAATATTGCTATTTGCCTATTATTACTTTGCTTCGAAATAAATCCCGCCCCAATTACATTAAGCATCGCAGAATACGAAAATAGAACGACTGATATCGTATCGCAAGGAAAATTAAATATAAAAATAGCTGCTATAAATAGCTGGCATGAAATAATATTTCACCTTTAAATTAAAACACAATTCACCAACGATTCAAAATCGGAACGCGTTACCCGGTCGACACAAACACGCTGAACGCTCGGCGGCGGGACGGTTAATTCTTCCGGGATGTGTTTCCGGCGCGGGGACCACTTAGGTATTAGCATGAGCGGACGCGAACCAATAAATCGGTGAGCATGTTCGAAAAAAAAATTACCATAGGAGTGCGACGTTCAAAAATGGAATAATTCGAATGTTTGATTAGGATTTAAGTTAAAATAAAAATAAATTTAAAGGCTACAAACGTTCAGTCGATCTCCTAATGGGAAAGGGTAGCAGCTAGACCGCCAACTCCTAATATTGTCATACCAGTTTACATAAATCTCCAGACGAAGCATAAAGTCATACGAAACTAATCGTCACGTGCGTCATAAGAGATACCCGCATTGCCTCGCAAACTGTTCAAACTATGCCGTTTACGTAAACATATAAACCGCTAATAATTTCTTGTATTTACGCGATTACACATTATAAATGAAACTAATTTTACGGATTTATCGCGTTTATTTTTAATTTTAATTCCCGACGTTTCGAACCCTTTACAGCGTTCATGGTCACGGGACAGACTGAGGTGTTAGACGTCTGATTGTCATAGTTGTCTGATTATCGGGATCGGACACAAAATTAATAATTCAAAAACTGACGGTAGCCCGGGTTAACTATGACAATCAGACGTCTAACACCTCAGTCTGTCCCGTGACCATGAACGCTGTAAAGGGTTCGAAACGTCGGGAATTAAAAATAAAAATAAACGCGATAAATCCGTAAAATTAGTTTCATTTATATAAACCGCTTCTACAACCGCAGTGTGAAATAATTGTGTGAGCATTTAGTACAAAATATCAAAATTAAATTGTGGTATGAAAGTATGAAATGCGATTAATGTTTCGCGGCCTTATTCAGACATAACGTAGTATTTTTTTTATTTTAATTTTATTATTCATCGTACGTAACTTACTTACGTATCATTACGTCTGCCTAATAAGGGGCCAAAATAGGGCATTATGGAAACAAATTAACAGTTATATAAACATCAATGTCTGTATAAACAACATTGAATTGTATAAAAATTAAAATGTCTCCTAGCCAGTAACATTCATTAAAAAACAAAACAATATTTTTGCTGCTGATGCTCCCTCCCAATATACGAGGTACGTGTTAGATACGAAAATTTATCTGTACGTGCGCTATCATTGGACATTGGTGTCGAAATGATCGAGAATTATACGTCCAATATAGAAATACAAAAGTTATAAGGTAGACACATCTTATATTTATATCTATAATCGATCTTGTTTAAGCAATAAGTAAATAATTATGTTCATTTATACTGAACTTAAGTATTATTGGCATTTGTGTATTTAGTACAGTACCTTTACAGTAGTGATTTCATAAATTATCCTAACGTAATAAATAAAAAAGTCATTACGAAATTATATGATCAATTAAAGTGATGTGAAAACATTAACCAAAGGGAAAAAGTAAAGATTGTTGTGTTTAGTTTTCTTTCACAGTCATGTCACAGTTTTAATCATAACTGAGATTACGTAAAAAGTCAAAAGATTCAAATAGAGTCAAATAATTCAATCAAGTAAACAAAAATAATAAATAAATTGCGAACGTCATCCACCTACAAGTCACTTGGAACAATCTCAAATGCCAAAATTGCAAAAATTTTATAACCACCATACGAGTTTAAACAGCGTGACAAATATGAGCCACGATACATAACAGAAAAAAAACTGCCAAAAACATTTCAAAATTTAAAGTTCACAATTGACACTTCACCGGATCATGTCCATAGACAAATTCACAACAGGTTTGGCGGAAGAGCTTTTAAAAAAAAAAAAGATTAGGCAGTGTGCGCACGATCGCGCGGCGGCGGACCCGAGGAACAACTGCCCGTAATCAATGCTGATGATAGTAACACCATGTCAAAAGGTGAGACGCAATTGGTAAAGAGTAAATTCAATGATTTTCGTCTTGATGAGTATAGGAAATTTTAATATGCTTTTTAATTAATTGAATTGGGGGCGCCACCAGTGTTTTTTTTTTTAAAAACATTGCCCTTACTTTAGGATAACACTATCGTGTGTTGTAAGGACGCTTTACAAACATAAATTTCACGCAGGCAAACACCCAGATGTGAAACAACTATCTGTCGGTCACACAAATAGTTGTCCCGTGTGGGAAGCGAACCTACAACGCCGAAGGCAATACCCAGGCAACTGCGCCACAGAATCATAAAATCTGTAAGATTGTAATTTTGCTTGAGGTGGGGTCCGTATATGTATACGTGCACCATGTGGTGGCTTTTATAAAGGTGCCCAAATTCACACAGAAGGTTCAGACTCGGTAGTATAATCGTTTATTGAAATAAAAAGAAACTTTTTTTTTAAATTGCTATCCCAGAAACAGAACTTTTTGCGCTAGTCATTCATTAATGCGTCGTATACTTTTGAAACGAACTTGTGTGCGTGTTAGTTATGAATGATCGCGGGTAAAATAAATTAGTTGCCCATAAATCACGCACTTTCTGAGACAAGTTCATATGAATGTAATCTTATCCTTTAAACGAGCAATTCTTGTACATATATACAGCGTGTCGTTACCATCGCGACAATAAATGATCACACATATAGGGGATAACTTTTTAAAGTTGTATTAAACATTTAAATTCTTTAAACATCAATATTTACAGAGTTATTAAATTTTCCAAAACAAAGAATTTTAGAACACCCTTACCTATAAAAGCGTGACGTAAAGTTCATTTGTAAAGGTGACACAAATCGTATGAATGGGTTGAATGAATTTAAAAGAGACAAAACATACTGTTAGAAGGATAGGCTTGTAATATGACGCTGTGCGCGAGTTGTATAGGATGTTACAAATTTTGTTTCTTTTTTACTTAATTAGTTTGAAAAATATTTTTTTTTAATTATGGATTTTGTTTAACGTTAATATTTTTTTATGATTATTGGCAAGTAGCGATAGACGTGTGTTGTTAGAAAATGTCCTTTTATCCCTGTTTTCAGGGAATGAAAAATATAATTCGAATACGACGGTAAATTTCGCCG